TTTGAATGTAGAAAATTTTATATCTACATTGATCCGACGGTGATTTGCACCCCACAGAGGGCGACTCCTTGAAACCGGCGCGCAAGCCACCGCAAAGCTACGTAGGATGAGCTTAAGGCGACATTGTACGATATTACCACTTTCTAGAGCAATTTTATTCTAAGGCTCTGCCAATATTTGCCAAATAAAATCATTATATGAAAATGAAACATATGATCGATGGTTTGCTAAAAACAGAAATATAAATTTCAATTATTATTGAATTTTATATTTCTGTTTTTATTTGCGATTTTTTTCTATCGAGCCAATTGGCTCGATTTTTAATTTACCGTAAAAATTAGTTTGCCGGTATCGTAACTTCTGTTTTTATCGCAAAGATGACATATAGGTTTTTTGGATCGATTTTTCGACTAATATATTTAAAAATATATACAAAAATATGTTTTGATGTAATCTGAAGAATAGATTTTTATTTTGTTATTACCCTTGGTTTTTTTTCTGTGATTAAAAATGTCTGAAATCAGACGAGCGCGTCTCCGTCATTCATTACTCTCGATGCGTAGTTGTTTGAGTATTTGTATGGGAACGTATGTATATTTATTCATTAATTTTTGTGTTAGTCCAGGAATTTTTGATGAATTAGAAACTATAGCTTTCACCGTCATTGCGCCGTCACGTCTTGGGAATTAAAATAATTATAATATGGATTATTTCTCTAGGGAAATACTACAAAACGATCATGCATATTGAATATCTTCAACATGCCATGTGCATAGATTCTTGACATTATGGCAAATCAAGTCTTATGATTAGTTAGGACAATCTTATTAATAAATATCCACAATATCACATACATTGCTCAGATTCCAAGATGAGTAGCTAAAACCTCAGATTCCTCAGATTCCAAGATGAGTAGTTATGAAGTATCTGAGACAATGAAGGTACACCCCGACCCAAGACAATACAAAAAAAAGTCCACTTTCCACATGGAGTCGACTGGCAATCGAACCCGGGACCGCACTGATGGCGACACTTTAGAAACGGAGTGCGAACGACTCGGCTACGGAGGTCGTCAATTGCTTACAAATTCCCTTGTCATTATCATCAGCCTAATTAGGTACCCTCTATTGGAATACAGTTAATGTGCTTAATGTGCCTTTGAGCACGAAAGATATTTTACTTTTTGGTCACCCATCCTATGACCATCCATTACTAAAGTGACTTTACCTATACTTTCATCATTAAACTATTTCAATAGATGTTTTGTATATTTTAATTTTCAATTACAGTAGTTGCCTGTGTTTTACAAGAGAATTAACAAATAAAAGTGTTGATATTACTAACGAACCGAAAGCAAAACTACACTGAATTTTCATGTCCGGCGGTCCGATTTTTTCAGGTCCGATATGTCAGGCCATATGTAGGTAATTCGCGCTTGTGCACTGTCAGGAATTTTACCGTCCGGAATTTTACTTTTCTCTATTCCGGACCGGTTTTTTCAGGTCCGTGATGGCGGCAATGAAAAACGTGTTTACGCTTGTACACTGCTGTGTCCGGTCCGAGATCAGGAAAATTCATAAGGAATAGGCTTGGGAAAAAATTATCGATTTGAATCGATATTTATTTCGGCAATATTGTTAATTTCCAATAAACTTATAATCGATATTTATTGTTGATTATAAAATGCTATATTTTATATGATGATTTAATATAGTTGGTATATATCACTGCATATGCTTTAGCAAACTCGGTATAGTTCTAATTTGATCAGCATATGGTTCTAGTATCGATACTTAGCTACATTTTAAAATCGTATTAAAAGTATCGATAGCTTAAGTAAGATAAATAAGTGTTGTTACGTTTAGACAACTGAACCCATCTAAATGGAAATTAATATAGTAAATAGACTTAACTTTAAGAAAGGACATAGGCTACATTTTATCGCGAAAAATAGGGGATGAAAGTTTGCCTGGAAATTTGTCATTATCAAATTTTTTTTAAACAATTGATAAGTATAGATAAATATTTGACAACAGAAGTAATAATAAAGAATAAACAGAAGATTAACAAAAGTAATTAAGTGACACTCGATGTCTTTTTGGCATTTAATAAAATTTTAAATGTATGTTTGTGTCATTAATAAATTTAAAAAAAGTAAGTATTCTAAGGGAATAATATTTCTGCTCAAAGAAACTACACCACGCGTATAAAATTATGCCTATATATACAGTCAACTGATCTCGTAAAGTTCATTTAGCATAATAATTCTCCGCTAACACGGCACTAATTTCGATTTGTTTACGAAATGGCGCCACCGATTGGTCTATCTCTGTAATCACTGAAAGTTGTTTTTACAAAACTTCGAAAAAAAAATAGCACATTTAAAAATTTAAACATTAAGTACTAGACCATTATCAGTAATTTTATTCTAATGTTAGATATTTTTAGCTATTGTATGTGAATAATGCTGTTCATAAATTAGTAAGGGTATAAGTTTTTACATCTGATAGTAGTCATCCGATAGTAGTAAAAAAAATGCTTTCGTCTTGCCATAATTTATTATGGTTTATGTAAAACGATCAGATCATTATTTAGGTACCTTTCTACGTCTTCGAATGGAATTACCAACGTTCCAAAAATCTCATCGTACCTAGCGTAAGTGACGTGTAGCTTCAAAGAGAGCTGCCCTACACTGCGCCGCTCCTATCAGGAAAAGAACGCACAAGTGCACAAGCTACTCATCCGAGTTTTTCATGTCATTCCGGACCGGAAAAAATCGGAACGCTGGACCTGAAAATTCAGTGTATTAGACGAATCATAGCTATGTGAAAACTGGGAATTAGATGTTCCGATAGGGTGACCATGTTTGTAGAAAAAACATAATTAGTTCTCGAAATTGCTTTCCTTGTTCTTTACTTGTTTCAAAAAGGAGGAAATAAAAAATAGTTTGAGAAATTAGAACCAACTTTGAAAATTAAATGACAATACATAAACAATAAAAATCATAAGTGGCAAAAAAAACGCACATAGCTTTCAGTTGTTTTGGGTATAAACCTTTTAATTACCATTTCTTATTTAAACAATCCTTTCAAATAAGGAATGTTTTCTTTGTTTAGGTTTAAATTTATATTTTAACAGTGAATAATGATCTAAATCATAGGATTTAGACCACACTTTTTTACCCGCGATGAGATGTCATAACTAGGTACCTAATGTTTGTAAGTAAGGACAGTGCCTTAAGTTGTAAAAATGTGATAATAATAAAGAAAAAGCGTCATTCTCAACCTCACCATACCCTCCGTTTCGTAAACTCTTGAGTTAATTTCATTAAAGTAGACTAATCATATTAATACATGTTTATTTATTTATTTAATCTTTATTGCCAAACTATAGCAAATGGTGGACTTCATGCCGTAGGCATTCTCTACCAGTTAATAATCGTAAATTAATGGATAAAATACCCATTTATTTAAAACTAGTGGGACCGGCGAACTTTGTTCCTCCCAAGAAATTCGAATGTAAAGATATATAAACGTCTTGGTTTAGGATTTAGCGATAATTTAAATTAAAACATAGACATCGATAACATTACGTGAACTGTCAGTTGCGTTTTATTATGACCAATCACTATCATCACAAACGTTTTGAGTCTTTTACAATTATTTTTTTATGTGGATAGAATATAATATTTTAATACTTATTATCCTATTCCCAAAGATGACAAATCCAAAAACATAAATATCACAAAAAACGGGTCAGGTGTTCTCAAGTTATAAATGATGTAACTAACACGATTTTCTTTTATACATATAGAACAGATTCTGAAAATGAATCCTTGGTGTCCCGGAAAAAAGTAACGCACAGTGACCATTGCTAGAGCGCATCGGTCGCGCGGGGAAGTGCAATTAAATGCGGGAATTAATTTATGGTTTCGTTGTCGCTTGCTAGCGGAGTTCGGCGCGCCGGTGAATCATCACTGGTGTTACCATTCAGAAAACTAAAGTACCCATGAAGACAGCTTAGTGTTCGAATGAAATCAGAAATAATATAAAAATAAACGGTGAATAGGCATTTACGATAGGTGCCGTCTATTAGTAAGAGAATCGATTGAGAAGGGGTACATAGGATACATAGTTATTTATTATCATTCAGTTGAGGAAAAATTAAACCACTTAAGCAAACTCTGGTGAATAATTAAACCAACGCTTAAATGATTTATTACTTATTAATGCAATTTTAAAAATACACGTAGTTATATTTATTTTTTGTGGATTTTCCGCGGTTGAGACAAACTCCTATTTTATTAAAAACTACATCGACTGAACAAATTATATGCCTCCAACTAGAAATTCCTTTAATATTAGTAACTTAATGTCATTAGAAACAATAATACCTCCAACTAATGTTAGTTAATAATAACTTTGACGGTCAATTTATGTAAATTGACCGTCAAAGTTATCTGCGTAAGCAAATTTTATGCAATCGTTTGTATTTCCTTATGCTTTTGGTATTTTATTATTTTGTAGCTGTTCTTATTGAAGACTTAGTAAAATTTTTCTTAAATTTCCTCATTCCAACAAGTTAAATTCATAAAGTACCAGAGTGCTTAGTGTAAGTTTTTTTGACGTTTACGTTCACTGTCGATCGTGAGCGCGTTAAGATTTTAGTATGGAATCCGGTACAGCGCCCCTAGCGGTAACTACCAAGAACTACAAATCTCCATACATATTCTTAACGCGCTCACTAGTGAACGCGTTAGCGTAAAACTTACACTTACCACTCAGTTCAACAATTTCAATTTTTACTACTTCTCGGGTAAATATTCACATGGTACACCCCACACCCTAGGCGCCGTTCGTTCGGTCTGCGTTCCTTCACTTCACTTCACACAGGCACAGGGCCGTTGCGAGTAGCGGGAACTGCGAAAGAGTAGTTAGTTCAAACTTGCCAGTCGCGCTGTACTGACATATTTTAGTTCCCATAACAGATTAGAAAAAAAAATGAGGGAAATAGTGCACCTTCAAGCTGGCCAGTGCGGAAACCAGATTGGAGCTAAAGTGAGTTCCGTTAATTTTTTTTTTATTAATAAAGTACAGTTGCGAAGTAAATCAAATTTGAACATAACGTTCATTCATTCTTGATTTGCAATATTTGTTCGTAATCTAATATTTCGTTGAATTTTAAAATATAGTTTATTAACTTTAGAGCTACATACGTTATTTATTACTCTTTAATATTATGTGTGGTTAGGTCTAGTAATTGTAATTTAGATCACGACCACCTCATGTCTCCAGATGCATCTATATTTTCATAAAATTATTTAGTAAACGTGATAATTTAGAAAAAAATAATAATGTAGGATAAAAGGTATCATTAATATCATAGATATTTGATAAAAAAAAGATGTTCATTCGACATCCGCCAAAATAGTATGTATATCTGTGAAATTTTTGTGATTCTTTTTTTAACTCGAGACTATAACAGTAATGTTATTCTGACTTTTTTATCATAAACCCTACCCATTTTATAGTAATGTCACCATATCAAACTTTTATTTAGAATTATCTTATTTTCATCAGCATAAGAGCCATAATTGTGATTGTAGTTTTTTAAAAGTACCTACTGGTGTTACGTCTTTGTTAACCATTTGTGAAGCATGTGATCTTCGATATTATTATTCCACGTTTTGATTTCATTCGTAGAATGTGTGTAATAATGATCCTACTAATGACCTTAAAAAAGAGATCGAAACTAAATTGACAGTAAATAGTACTCATTTTACTTGGTTGAGTAGATACTTGATCTGTTATCGTGGTTTGCGTGTAATTTTATAGTTCCGTGTTAGATTATTATAGGTAACTTTCTTAGTATTGGTGGATACTTGGAAAAGACAGTATAACTGTTGTACTCGTATTGAGGGTAACCAAATAAGTAGAATGAAAAATCTCTTTAATAATTTGAATAGGACGCATAAACAAATAAAATACAGAGTAGGTACGTAACACCGACTTTAATCGTTAGTGACAAATTCGCTGACTTTTCGTTTTACAGTTACACTAAATACGAAATATAAAAAATAACGCAAGAAAACGACAGTGAAAGTCTATTTAAAATAGGTATCTTTTTTATTTAAACATATCAATTTCATTACCGGAAAAATTGAAATCGAACATTTCGTTATTGTCTAATATCAAGAAGTCTTCATTCTACTTTCTTGTACCTAAGTGCGCCGGCTCCGGTCGTGATTCTACGCTTTTTACACTTTTTTTTATTGGAGCAAAGCAAATGATATGCTTTCTAACTGACGTCCTCTGCGATAAGCAATTTCGATTTAACCAGAACCAGTAACAAGAACTCATTAATTTAGTGAAATTTATTTAATTGAAGAAAATGAAAAATAAATTATCTGATTGATTGAAATATAAAAGTAAAATACACCCGTCCCGATCCTACGATAAAACAATTGATATTTTTAAGTCCCCATTACTATAATTTCTGCATATTATAAACTAGTGGTCCAAATAAAGTATGATAAGAATATTTCGTGTTGTATTAAGTCTGTTTTTTTTATTACTATAAGTAACGGAAAACGCAAAATAATATTACAACAGTAAAAAAATTCACCGCCTTGGAACGAACGGTAAAAGAATAGGTACCTCTAATTCACTATTACCCATTTCCCACACTTCATAAAGCTACACTCGCTGATGGTAAAAAAAGTTAGAATTCAAATCCAGGTCGCAGTTTAAATCATATTTAAAAAGTAAAAAATACATTAGGTGGACGCAGACGTCTGTAATTTGGTATATAATTGGCCGCCTTCCTCTCTCGTCTATTGTCATGCTATCATTACCCAGATGACCGTTAATACCGTTAACTTTTATAAAACACTTCCACCGCAGTGTATGCAAGTTTTAGAAAGCAAAGTAAATCGACCCAATAAAACTATTTGATCCGAATTTAGAAAACTATGAAGCATTTCAGTTTTCGTGATGTTTTACTATGGGGAACGGATGAATGAATTAAACATTCTTATTGAACACTATAGAATCAATTGAAATACAACAAGCCTACCGTATTTACAAAGACATTGCAATCAAATTACCGGTGTCGCGTAAAAGCAATTTCTTTTAAGCAAAATTTGTGTAACGGAAGAGTTAGAAAGAACTGAAATATAAAAGAACCTTTAAAGTACATATTTATAAATATAGCATTGTAAATATAAAATTAAAAAAATATAATAATTAAATAAGATGTGTTAGATTTTTTTACTTTAATATAAATTGATTTTTCACGCTCAATATAATATTTTTAATACAGAAATAAAGACTCCTATGGTAAAAATACTATAGTCATAATGAAAATATTTCTTCGTATTAATAATGGAAGTAATATTCACTAGCTGCAATATTTAGCCGCAGTTTAAAATGTTGATCCCTTTGTTATTGTGAGCCATACTTGTATGTATCTTAGAGCGGGGGATCTTTTATTTGTTGTTTGAATAAAAGTGCAGCTGCTTCGGACATGTTAAACCAAGATGTATCGTGTTTCAACTTGTTTCAACATGTATTACTTATTATCTTATATTAAAGATGGGTAATAATAGATATGACAGTAAATTATGTAAAATAACTTAAGATTTTTAAAAAAGAAACTAAAAATTTTAGGACGATCGAAATTGTTTTAGAATTTTGAATCCTAACACCGTAAAATATTTGTTTTCTTTTTCGTATAATAATATTTGTTAAAATATTTGTTTTTATTTTCGTATAGTTGCTTTGTAACCATAACACTTGTGTAGCTGATTGTACATAAGTGCAACCACAGTGCAAAAATAGAATTTTAATTTTCCTTTTAGAATATGTAATGTGTCATTCATAAACTAAACAGTGAAACCCTCTACGGTTAATTTGATAGTACATTTTTATAATTTTCTTTAATCGAAGACTCGATTCCCTGCCGGGTCAATATTATAAAATTGACTTTTCTTTGTTGACTCGTGTCAGGGTATTGTGGTACCGTTGTTGTCTCAGATACTCTATAACACGAGAGCTTTAAAGCTACTCATCTTGAAATCTGAGCAATGTTTATGATTTTGTCATATACCTATATATATATCTTTATTTTTTTTATTATAATTTTATATAAAACCTGTTTCTAATCGACTCTAATGAGCCTTAACAATAAGTCCTTTTTTCTCTCGAGATTTGAAAATTTTGTTAAATGATAAGTCGACTTTGGAAATCACTGATCTATAGTATTGTAAATAAATACTATGGGTAACAATATACCTATACTATCTTTAGTTCTGTCAATTTTAAACTATAGCATTGCAGCAACACTTCCGTATGGCGGATTTCGTTTCCACGAAGAATACAAGGCATCAGTTGTTTAGATAGCTAAAGAGGTCACGTTTACTTTGGCGGATAATTTAACAAGAATTAACTGTACTCTATCTTTAACCGACTTCAAAAAAGGAGGAGGTTCTCAAGGTGACTGTATGATTTTTTGTGTGTTTCTTACGGGATTACTCCGCCAAGTATGAAACGAATTTTCAAGATTCTTTTTTGAATCTATGAATTCTTTTTAAAATTTTCAAGATTTTATAATTCTATTATATTCGACAGCTTAGTGGACTGAGTCTGTCCCATTTAAATTTAAATCAGTTGTCTTTAATAACAAAACAAAATATGCCTTTCTTCAAATATCACCTAAATATGTTTATGTCATAGTTATATGTATCAAAAACTAAAGATTTCTATGTTCAAAACGAATATTGAGAATAATATATCCTGTTATGTACCTAGATTATACTTTTTATATCTTTAAAAAGTATAATCTATAATTTTCAAGATACAAAAAAATACTGTCGAATAATAACTTGCTCCTTTTTAGAAGTCATTTAAAAAAACAAAGTAATGGACCATTTTATACCTAACTATCCTTCTTGGTGGTTGCTTGGGCTTGTTATTATAAATCATCATTTATCCCGTGCTTTTCTAAACATTTTTATATGTGAATTTGTGTAGGAGATGACAGCAAGTTTTGCAGATTACCGAGTAGACTTAGCTAACATTTCAATTATTAATTTATACTAAGTTGAGAAAATGACTAATTTCTTGGAAAATTATTATTCATGACAATTTCTTCATGAATGATGTGTGTAATTATTTTAGTCACATTAGTTATTTATCATTCATAAATAGTCATAAAAATAGTTGTTGACCTAAGCCTCTTATCATTGAAGAGTCATCGGATTCGTAAGACGTTAGATAAAGCAGCCTTTCTTACGAATCATAACTTGCTTACTTATTTTTTTTTTCTTCTAATTTATTATAGTGTATAAATGTATTTGAGTTTTATCTAAACTAAAACTAAACTAATCAGTGGAATTACATAATGTATATAGTATCCAAAATTTTAAGTTGCACTTAGTAATTTATTTAATATGTTGGTGTCTTAAAAGTATTTTTCCTATTTTATTTCTACAAAGGAAACATTATAATTTTAGTAACGTCCAAGTCACTTTTGTGATCGTTTTTACTTAACATATCGAAAATAAAATGAATTCTACGTTTGACTTGGAAACAAAAGTGTCTTTGGAGGACATTACAAAACGTTTCCGTTCAAACGAAGACCTATTAAAAATAATCTACATAAAAACAATGAAAATGAACGAATGATGCAAAATTCGAACGGCTATGATTCACGAAGCTGGAAGTGAGGGGCGTGCTCTGAATATCGAACTCATGCAATTTAACATGACACCGGGGCAACCCGAGGGTCTATTCTATTTGTCCTCGAACAAAAATTTGGGAATTTTGAATGTTTCTTTTAAAATTTGTTAAAATACTATTCATGACGATTATTTGTGCATCAGAGGCAGTGTCTTACCACCGTTGCATCATAAATTATCGAAAAATGCGTATCTTTGCAATCGTAAGTATTAGCATTTTGTAAATAGAAGAAATTTGGTTGTCGCAGAATTAGAATGTGCCTTCAGGTGTCATGTTAATTTGTACGAATACAATCCAGTACAGCAAATATTATAATACAT